ACATACAATCTAGTTGTTATGCTTGTTGTTACTAAATTTTTACATTATAGAAAATGCCAGGTGAAGCATAGTTAGCTAACTGATAAACAACTAACTATATTATTACGCTATTAAAGCGTTAGACTACATCACCAAACAACATTACCTAGGTTAGCATAGTCAGACATTATCCATTCATTCTTAAAATACTGAATGCTACTTACTCAAACAAACATACATCTCCAAACTTCACTCACTTTATCATATCTTTTTATCATAAACGTCGCTAGATGTGCAAATGAATAAAGATTAATTTAGGCCAAGATCATGGTTCTGGAAATGATGTATAATTGTATGTATACGATTATTGGTTCAGGTTTTTCCCATTTCTGTATCTTTTACCTCCTTTTAACAGTTAGATTTTCCTTTGTAAAGCAGAAATGGGAATTTGTGAAACATGATAATTTTCGGGAAATCAGTTGTAGATTAGTTTGATACTTTGCAGATGGAGGAGTGGAGTGAATAAGAACTGGATTTAATGACTCACTTGAATTTGCCTCTTGTTAAAAATAACACACATTTATGCACTGCTTTTTAAACCTCATATTTTCCTCAGTACTTCCGGATCACGAGCACAGAAACTACTGTGAACATCACAGAGTATGTGGTTTGAAAGGAAATATGGCTCGCTTCACCTTCTGTTTCACACATTGCCTGAGTTCTGCATCAAACCTCTTGACTTCCTTTTCACATAAAAGAAGTGGTTTCTTATCTGCAGATGTTCACCCCTTCCTCGACATATGGATTTGGTCATGGTATGGCGGTTTGAGCTGACAGAGGGGCCGACTATAACGGAAGACACCAATCTGGTTGGACCTTGACCTGAATGTAAATGATCCAAGTGAAGCTTTTGTCTGCTGCTCTCCTTTACTGAGGGGTTCAAATTTGTTGTTTGATGAACGAGAGCTACCAAAATTAGGCATACATTTCACCCTCCTCCTCATAAGTCTTTCAAAGCATTCCAGAGAATACACTACTAGATTTCTGATATCCTTCCTGCTCTGTTTGAACACACTTACAACACAATATTTGACAAAGGACTTTGTGAAACCTTATTAACAAACACCAACTTGTTCAATTTTTACTCCATCCCATCGAACTGCAATTTTATTTCATGGTTTGAAAGCCCCCTTATACTGTATCTTAGGTTTTTGCCCTTGCTACTTGGGTAGTGACCTGAAAGCAATTTTCTTTTTATGATATACTTAATTTATCCCTCAAGGGGGAGATTCTCTGTGCTCCCTCCGTAGCAGCCCTGGAGCAGGTAAAGGGTAAATATCAGGGCTCAAGGATACCTGGGGATATAGAGCCAGAGGTGGGAAGAATACCAAAAATCCTGCTTGGGCTGAGGAACAGTTATTTTTAAGATCATATTGCTCAAGTAAATTTAATGTCGCGAAATTTTAAAAATTGGCTCATTAAGAATTTATTCAAAGAAAAAAAATACATTTCTACACATGACCTTTATCATCTGTGTAATCAACTGTACATAATATAGTGCTTAAACAGTACAACAAGTACACCATCTTAGCTTGTTCAATGGTAATGGTTCCATAATAGCTGAATATACTATTACCCAGTTGCCTCCCTATTAGGTCTTGTCATAACCCTGGATATTTATAAGGTACTGAATAGTTTTGGACAAAAACTGTTTTAAGGTAAGGCAGAAACTTCAGACATGCTAACGTTACTAATATCCGGTGTGAGGAAGCTCTATGCTCTTCATTTGTGCAGACAAAAAGCAGGAATTTCATATATGCTATCACCACGTTTTTGCTCATGCTAATGCTAATGTTAGTTAGTGCGAGGGAGGCACAGACTCAGTTCATCTGTCATTACATATAAGAGCCAACTTTGTGAAGGTTTGGTTAGCATTATTACTGCTACTAGCTGCTGTTTCTAGTTGGACTGTCATGTGTCATGTTTACGGAAGCCCTAAGAGGCCATCCATTCACATTTTTTTTTACTCCATTTTCCCGTGATAATGGGATAATTTTCTCGTGATCTCGAGATAACAAATGATAACTTAAAACAGGGGTCGGCAGGTGCGTTTCTTTAGGATAATTTCAGTGATTCTTAATGTGTCTAGTTAGCTCAGTTGGAAGTGTACAGGATTTGTATACTAAAGACTGTGTGTTCAATTCCTTCTCTCAACCATGTTTTTTCTTCTTTTGTGGCTTTTTTATTATCCTCTTCAGCATAGTTGTTATGAAGAGATTCACAGGAATCCAATCACACATTTCCCGATGGCTAAGGTTCTAAAATACCCGTCAGGAAATGAGTAACATTAAATGGATTCCCCCGAATGAGAAGCACAGGAATTTCCTCTGCCTGTGAATGATGGGGAAATGAAAAGTCAGTAGGTTGATGGATGTGGACCAGTCCAACACGTGCTTTATTGTGAATATATGAAACAGTGTCGTTATAAGAACTTTGTTGAGGAGAATTATGAAAAAGATAAAAAGTTAGACTTCCATCAGGATCAAACAAACAACCCTTAGATTTTGAGTACTGTGTTCTACTAACTGAGCTAACCACTGACACTGAAAACCACAGTAAAACTACCATTAAGAAACGTTCCTGCCGACCCTGCCTGAGCTCATGAGAAAATTATTCCGTTATCACGGGAAAACAACATTCCTTATCTCGAGATAATTATCACGGGAAAATTGATTAAAAAAATATTTGAATCGATGGCAGCTTAGGGTTTCCGTACATGTTAGCCAACTGGAGCCGACAGATGTCTTGACACAATGTCAGTGTGACAAGTGCAATAAAAAAAAGTTTTGAAAAGGCAAGGACGAGTGCCGTATATAAATTCAACTCTTATAAAGTAATTTTACTAGTTTTCAGCAAGTTGCAACATTTCTAAGTACTGACAATATTCAAGATATCAACTACTTGAAGAGACTTCTTTTAATTCATTATTTATTTAAAGGAAAATTATCTAATTTATTATTCATCTATTCCCTTATTTATAAAGATTGATTGATGAAATTCAAGAGGGGGAAAACCTTTAACATTTTTAAGCCACAAAACTGTCTTTCAACACCAGAGCAAAAAAGTTGTTTGGAATGTACCAGAGGGAAATGGAATAGTCACACTCCCTTTGAGAATAATCTCATCAAGGAAATGAATCTTCTTTTAAAACAAATGTGAGCATCAACTATTCTCTTCTGTGACTTGCATACTGTATAGATCAGATCAGAGGCGACACAGGAATGTGTTCATTGGTTGGAGCTTTTAGACGGCGCACTTTGGCTGCTAACTAGCCTCTGGAGGGAAACATTATTGAAAGCGGTTGTCAACATGAGGGCTTCTACATGTCATGTGTCACTGCACCGTGGAGGCTTCCTCTTCTATGAACACACTCCTCAGAACATACACATTTCCTGTTATCTGATAGTACAAAGCAACTGAATATCAGAACTTGCACGTGTCTGTAAAATGCATGTATATGTGGATGAAAACCATCAATAAAGCACACAAAACAGCCAGAAAATAGATAACTTTAACAATTTTATTTGTGAAAAACTACAAGCAAAATTCATAAATAGACATTTCTATTTGAAGCGAAGGAAAATTATTGGGTTAGCCTATAAGCGCAAAGTCGTGCACATGCCAGAAACATGTATTATTTTAACATTATAAGCTAGACAAGGAGCTGTGATCCGCTGAAAATGCTGCGTACATTTCCACACCAGGAACATGTGACCATTTCACAAGGGGAAACAATGACACATTAGCTATAAGTTCAAAAAAAAAAAAAAAAGCAAAGAAGAAAACTTAAACTGGATTAAACAAAGAATGGATTATTGTACTGTCCCTAAAACTTTTTTTTCCATTTTTTTTAAAACCGAGCAATAACTTTAAAAGCATTGTACAAGACATTGTTATAGGAAGAAATGAGTTCGTATAATACACTTAATTGGAAATTCACGGTTAAGGTTATACAGTCAGTAAACAAGCCTTCTATATTTGGGTCTCTGACAAACAAAGCTAAAAAATGTAACCATCTTTACACAGTAAATTAAGGTTACTGGTCGCACACAAGAACAGAACTGCTTGCGCGGAAAGGAAACAGGAAACAAAAGAATTCAGCTCCAATGCCATTATTCATAGTGTTTACTTTTGCACCCTTTTAAAATTCTATATACAAGCAATAATTCATATATTCAGCAAATGGCCATTTGTCAATAATTTAACAATGAATCCTTTCTGTTGGAGAACTCAGTCAAGTGAACGTGGTTGCAGATAAGGCAGGTGAAAAGATGGCTTTTTAGGCCCATTTCTAATAGATTGCATTACAAAGCAGGCTTTTATTCTCAGTATAAATTGGACAAAACATTTTTCTCCTTTGACCCAACAGTCCCACTTTTTAAGTTCTATTCACATTGCTTTTCCTCACTTTGAACACTGATTCCATATTTGTATGCAATAAAGTACATAATTACATATTAACCATAGCTTAAGAGCAAAGAAAAATCTTTTTAACACATCTCTCATGGGCTTCAAACGTTGCTTACAACACACATATGATTATCATACCTACGTGTGAAAATACAAAGCTTTTACTCAACACTGATCCAATCCTGCCCCTCAGATGGTAGTAGGATATATTGAATTTTTTGGGACTTGTTAACCTCACCTAAACTGGCTTTAGTTGCTCAGGGAGTGGCTCAACTGGTGAGTCGGGGCCTCTGTTAAGGGAGTTACATGTACTGTGGTAGTCCAGCAGAGTGAAGAGGGGGCTTACTAAAGCCTAAGACTTCGACCCAGCAGACCCAGAGCTCTTCTCAGCTACCCAAACACACCCAGTCTGCTTTTCATCACCTGCACAATGAGGGAAGATCCACCGCTGGGTGTGGAGCTGGTAGTGTTCTTCGACTCAACTCACAGTATTAACAATTCTCTGCCCCAATTTAGCAGTGCAAAGAGACAAGTGGACAATAAGAACACCATTTACATGGATTATATTAGTCTTTATTTAAACTGTTATTCATCTCACACATTAGATAATTGCATTTCAAATTGTTATTTATTTGTCTATTTATCATGTCATTATGAAATTCCTTTGGTCCTTCAATAAATAAAACTAAGATATCATATACACATTTATTCTTTATACAATTTCATACAGGTAAAAGGAAATTATGTTGGTCTAGTATCAGCTAAGGTGAAAGTGAATTAAAACCCTTAAATAAGCCTTGCTGTTCTAAAAATTGAAAGAGCAATTGTGTTCTATTAACTACTGCAATAGTTTTTTTCCTTCAATGACAGGAGTCTTAAATTAATAAAAGAAAGTCAATTGAATTGTCAATCTTTGCAAATTGTTAATGTCTTTGCATGTGTTTTCTGGGATATCAGGTTGAAAGAATGAAGATTCAAAGTTTGTCTTCAGGACCACAACAAAAGAAAAATGAGATCGATTCACAACAGCTTGACACAACAAGTCTATTTCACAGTTCCATATGGTTTTACCAAGTGGAACTGCGTGGAACCATCCTTCAGTCACAAGAGAAAAGATTCTGGCTCAAGAGCTGAGGCGACAGCTCTCCCTTTAGCCAGAAAACTCAATATCTAAGTACGGAATGCAGAAAATATCAACAGCTTTTAGTGTTTTACACAACAGCCTACACTGTACAGTTAATGACATAAGATACTTTATAAGAGATCTGCCATAGCATACTAAATCATAGACAATCTAGTTGAAAAAGTCAGGTGTCTGAACCTCCGGTGACCTTCTTCTGATGCACATTGACATGTACAGAACAAGCAGAACGGGCCTGATGGAGGCCCCGACAGTGTTCAGAGTGAAACAGTGTTGTTGAGAAAAGTGAATGAGAATTTGATTCGTCAGCACTTTGTCACATTGAGTGAGTGGGCAATCCCAGATCTGCAAAACTGCTTCACAGTGTATCTAGCACCAGTGTGTGTGTGTGTGTGTGTCTGTCTGTGTGACCCGAGTCTTGTCCTATCATTTTCAAACTGTAATAAAACCACTGAAGGAATGATCGATCGGCAGAGCTACACAGCAAAGCTTCAACATAAAAAAAAGGAGAACATCAAAGTATACAGGTGCAACAGGTAATAAATAAGGGTAATAATAGTTTAAAGTTATTGAAATGATGGTGGTTATTGTGCCCAGCGGAGAATTCTTCTTTACAAAAACAAAAATAATGTTGACTTGGCCTCACATCCACGTACGAATATAAAACAATACATACAAGTGTCTGGATGCTACCGCGGGGGAGGTTTGGGGTAGGGTGTTATTCCTTGTAGCCCAGCTCTCCTCGCCTATGGCATGGGTGCAACCACGAGGGAAGTTCCCCCAGCAGGGTGTTGATTTCCCAGGCAGGCGCACCGCACTGTTCCTCTTAGCCAGCCAGCTCCTCTCAGCATCCAGGGGTGGTCATGGAATGGAGGCAGGGCAGCAATGGGAAAGTTGAGACCTCTCCCCCCCCCCTATGGGATCCATAGTGTCCAGAAACTTGGGGGAAAAAGGGGGAGTGGAGCAGGGTGAAGACGGGGGGGGATAGGGGCGCGAACTCAGAACGACTCGTCGTGCCCCACAGAGAGATCCCCTTTAGGTGTGGAGGCGCGCGACGAGCCCTTGTCCATGCTCTCGGAGCCGGAGCTCTGGTGCTGTTGTTCGGAGCCCGCGCTGGATGTGATGGTGGATGAGGACGTGGAGGAGGAGCGGGTCTTCTCCTTAAAGTCTGTTATGATCACTGTCACGTTCCCTACGGTGATAGCCAACTGCTGGGCAGTGCTCCGGTCAATGTTCTTCAGTTTGGGCCTGAGGGTCATAGATGGGAAGGGGGGTGGGGGGTGGGGGGAGAACAAACGTAAATGACCAGAAATGGCAACCACAACATTTCTGTCTCAGCGACAACAAGGAGGAGGCTGCCAGCAGTGTGGGGGTGGTTACACTAAATTGCTCAATTCATCGGGTGACACACGAACAGTCACAACAAGTGTATACAAAGTGAGAGTGGGTGTTTAGTGTAAAAGATCATTTGTGAATCATTTGAGGTTTCCCCACTAGCCTTGTGCTGCATTACGTAGACTACAGAGCACTTCTTACAGATAGATGTAAAACCATGTGTTCTGCCAAGGAGGAGCAGAGTATGCGAGGGTGCTACACACCTGGAAATGTGAGAGTTCTTGTTGGTCTTGGTTGCTGATTTGCCAGACTGTATGCTGTGTTTGTCACTGGGTGGACTCTGATGGTTGTCTGATTTGGGTCTGGAAGAAAGCAAATACAGAACAGTAAGAATAACACCAGCACAGAGAGCATCCACAGACACAAGTGAAGGATCGACAGAGACACTAACCTGGTCTTTTTGCTGCTGGGCTTCTTCGTGACGGCTGGGCTGATGTCCTTCTCTGTGTCGGGTTTGTCTTTGATTGGCTGCTCCTTGTCGCTCTTTTCCTTCTCGGGAGTGTCTCCCTCTGGCCTCACTCTCTCCGGACGCTCACCCTCTGGGCGTCCCTCTCCGTTGGCGCGCTCTCCTTCACCATCCGGGCGCTCCTTTTCTGTGCGCTCGCTCCTCTCCCTCCGCTCCTTCTTCGGTGGGGGAGGCATCGGGTACTGCTGAGCCACCTGCTGGGCAACCAGCTGGGAGTTGATCCTGGGTTTCCTGTGGAGGAGATCCAATGCACGATCATAGATTAGTTTCAGAGTGGAGCTACGAGCTGACTCTGGCTATGCACCAACAGAGTCGCAGTACGGCAGATGAAGAGAGGTGACTGAACCTAGAGGCCGGCGAGGGAAAGGGACTGCTGCTTCCTGCTGGAGCCGCTCTGTTTTGAGGGCTAATCTCATTAGCTCACGGCTGTGATAAAATGAATGCACAGGATCACAAGGTGGGACATTTGCAGAACGTCACTTAGGTGCTCTAATCTGATTACTGCAGGGTTGGCCCCATTTGTCACAGACTGAGATTCTGTTGGACATGGTGTAGTTGCTCCGCTCACTGAGCTCACCAGCAACCACAGAGCCACCCTGTCCCTTTTTTGACTTTGACTTTTTTAACGCATACCTACAAACCATAACCATCATTTTGAGTTACTGTTGAGGAAAAACACTAAAAAGGCAAGGAAGTCCCACGTATTTCCTAAAGGGACAAACACATACAACCAGCCTTTTCCGCTGTGTATCACCACTAAACTGTTACAAACATGCATGCAGCAGGAGGAAGCAACTTGCTGGGTCAGTTGTGCAGATGAACAGGGCCTGAAGTTGTGAAGCAAAATGCTAACCCAGAGTCAGACCGCCCGAGCCAACACACACACCTGCAGCATAATGGACACCAGCTGGCAGCATCAGGGGGGAAGCAGAGGACCTCGGGGGAGAGGGAAGGATGACTGCAGCCTTCCAGAGACTCCGACTCAGCCGAGACCAAACAGCAGCCAGCAACACGGATAATCACAGGCCAGCACTGGGCAAGCACGGTGAGTAGTGAACCACAAGCACACTCGCACACAAATGCACACTTGAAGAGCTTAGCGTGCAAACAAACAGCCTGGCACGCCTCGATGGAAGCTCGGGAGGCCTTTCAGCAGGAACACAACAAGTTATACTAGCTAGCTTTGTATACCCAACCCTTCCAAACCCAATTCTAGTCTTGGCAGGAAGAGGTTTTGTGATATCCCAGCAGTGGACAGGAGGTCCCTTGATCCTCAGCACTGCTTTAGGAGACCTGTGGTCTAGTAGGGAGTCTTGAAACTTGAAACTCTCTAAGCATCTAAGCAGTCTAAGCATCAGGCAAATGAAGCTCTGACAGTGAAACAAATGTTTTTGGAGTTGGCATGGGAATGGGATATAGTGAAACTGATCTAAGACCAAATGCATGTGGCACAAACAGAAGAGGCTCAGTAGTGTGATGACCCTGATTTCTGGCTCTCCTGGCTTGCCGTGGAGAGTGAATTTCAGACAGCTTAAGTGGTTAGCCTCAGTGTTTCAATTTGGCAGCATCATATTGCCAGTCCAGTTACTCTCGTTTCCCCATGTCTTCCACAAATGACACACCCTCAGTACACTCTCTTTTAGTAGCCAAGTACTTTTAAACTCTAATAGTCCGATTCTTTCGCAACTTTTTTCTCTACTGCTCCATCAAGCTCATTTATCTCCTCCTGCTGTGGTGTATTACAGACAGAGAGAGCCTCTCCTTGGTGGGGGTGGGGGGGTTATGCAGCCGCTCAGAAGGGAATCAATCGGGGCATAATAGAGCATCATGTCGTACTGCTCAAACTACACTCCAATCAATACACCAGCTGTGGCGAATGCTGAGGAGCCCTAGGCTGTTGATATTGTATTCATCAGCCTTGGTTCTCTGGAGCTTGGGCCTTTCTACCTGCTACCTTTATGTTTGCCACCCTCTGGGGGCCTCCAATGGGTGAGAATTAAATGGTTATATGAGAGTGGAATTTTCTTCCCATTTCATCCTACCTTCATAATTGCCATGGCCGTCTTGTTCCCATTATAGTGATCCCAATTCCATTTCAATCTAGATCAATGCATTCCCATGTTGAGTGTCAGAGCTCGTCTTAATCGTACTTAGGTAATGAACTACACGCAGCAATGCTTGTAAATGCTTAAGTGATTAAGCTGATGACTAATTAATTAGGAAGTGATGAGTTTACACAATTAAACCTCTTTGCCCATACCGACAACACCAATTTGTCAAAGCAGGCCTACACTCGATAATTTATATTGAGCAAATAATACATGCCATGACCCCATGCTGAATTGGCTGTGACATTTAAAACAAATGTAACTAATTCCTCCAGACTCCCGTAAACTTGTCAGCCTTGGTTAGCCCTGTTCCGTTCTTATTCCGATCACATAATGCCGCCCACGCATGGGCATCTTGTGGGCTCTTCGAGTACGACCGGCCTCATGATCAGATGTCAACATCTGGTAGGACGATGACAAAGTGTGACGAAGAAATCCATTTTTTGGGGAATGCAGCATGAGCTACATGACAAACATCAGTGAGAAGAGCTACAATGAGGTAATGTGAAAAAATAAATCTCTTAGCCTCAGCCACGAGTAAACAGATTGCAAACGCAGACAGCATCCAACAGGACCAGAAATCATTTTGTTTGGCAGTGAGCGCTGCTAGTCGAGGAGGTGGTGGATGAGTGATTGATTGACTGATAAGATCCACGATTCCTGCCTGTTGCAGAGTTGGAGCCCTGGCCAGAGTCTGAGATTTGTGTCGGCAGAAGCAGCCCCGGTAGTTAAGCCGTGATTCAGTGCCAGCTGTAAGTCAGCCATGAGTTGCTGCTGGCATGATACAGCCACCGCTCTCTTTGCACCATTATTTATTTACTGACCACACATCATGGCTTTGCAAAGCAATGCTCTGTGGCTCATTAACATGGCTGGAGATTCTGCATGACACTGTGTGTGTGTTTCACTTTTATTAAAATGTGGTAGCCCTGAACTGCTGGAATAAGTCTCCCGCTTAAAAATATCATATCTAATATTAATTGCAGTTCATTTTTTTTTTTTAAATCTGTCCAGGTTGTTAAGCACAGAATGTACTTCTTCCACTGCAACATTGCTAAAAACTACTACATCTGAACCGTATTATTTTGTAAACATCCAAACCAAATAGGAAACATCTTCATTTCACAAGAGGTACTGGAAATGATCCTGGCAGCAGGACCAGGAGTGAACTCCTGGGTCCAATTGCACAAATTGCTTCAACCTCCCACTGCTGCCAATATATTCCTGGGGAATCAGCGTGAGTGAGTGTGTCAAGTGTGTAAAGCCTGCTGTCCAATAATTTCCCGCTGTGAGAGCTCACAGCTTATTACCTCCCTTCGCACAACAATGGGCCGTGATTGACAGCTCCTCCTATGCTTGCCCCTAAATTCCACCGTCTGGGGGAGCAGGGAGTGGGGAGCCTCCCTCCACGGGGTGCCCTGGAATAACTATCATCATGCTTAAAAGCTCCTAATTCGGTCAGACTGACACCCATAGTTAGACCGCTCCACTCAGCCTGAGCCATCCCAGAGACAGACACACCTCTGCTCAACTGGTGCTCTCGCTGGCCAGCAGCAACCGACGGTGCAAGACAAGAGCAAAAGCTGGAGCAGCTGTTTCAGAGGGAGCTCGTTCTAGACAATCCAAAGACAATGAGCCCCAGCACTTCATGGAGAGGCAGCTTAATGAAGAGTGAGCGAGCGATGGAGGGCGTGATAGAGAGAAAGAGAGGCACAGGAAAGCCCTCATTAACACAGCTCTTTTATTTGAAGTGCTGTGTGGAGGACAAGCAATTATTTCCTGCCAGGCTGAGTGAATGCAGAGGCAGACAGCTGAGCGAAGGGAGGGGGGGGGCGCCAACAGACAACAGTATCCTTTGACCATGGACAGCCCACGGAAGAGCTCAGACTGTTTAACATCACCCACTCTCTCATTCAGACTTTGTAAATAACTGCATCTACACAATACAAATGTGGGCTCCTTGTCCTCGATGACGATCAAAATTGTTCAGAAACATGAATCCTCAATTCAAATGCATTCAGCAGTGACCTGCCTTCCCCCCATATCGGACAGAGAGCCCATCGCAGTTTCGGCCGGGAGCACATGTCTCAGATCCAGCATGTGAGAATGCCACGGGGCCTTAGTTTGATCACAGCACTTCCCTATGACGTGCTGGCAGCCATGAAATTGATGATCTACATGCACTCGTCTGTGTCAACACTCGCTGTATGCCTTGATTGTTATGTAGAAACATGTGATGCTCTCCCCTCCCCCTACCAGCATGGAGGGTGATGGAGCAAAGCCCAGAGCTGCCTGCCTGTGCTGCTTCAAATTTGTTAACCAGTCAGCGGTTATATATATCTGCATGTTCTATTGTTCTATTGTTGTTAGTTGGACAATCTTTCCAGAAGGACTTGAAGTATGTCTGAGAAGAACACATCAGGTCCCGGCCTGACTCAATTCATAGGTCTGACAACTGGCTGCATTTCTTTTATAAAACTGTGCAACAGTAGTGTGTGCATGCGTTAGCTGACTTTAGACAAGAGCAAGATTATCAGAATGGATTGTAATCCATATTGTTTATAGAGCGGAAACAATTGGTCAATTGACAGAAATTTAATCCTACAACTTATCATCAAGTCACTGTTAATCAGGCATGTGATTGACAAAGGGCAAAAAAGAAGGAAAACATATAGAGATCCCCCGACACCCCGATTAAACTGCAGCGGCAGGACCCATGACAATAACTTATTTGGTGAATGTGTTGCAATGGGAATCAAAGACAAGTGTCTAATCCGCTGCTCCATCGCAACCTTTCAACAGCTAAATGTGGAACATGCAATGTGAAATAATTGAGTCTAAAACTAAATAATATAACTACTAACTTTCAAATTAGTTCAGTTGAAGTTAATAGATGATTTTTAATGAATAAGAGACAGCAGCAAAGGTTGTCGCCTGTGTAAGACCTGGTGGCCTAACTGTTAAAGAAACATATTATTCAAGAAACTCAGATCAAACAGCCACATCAGTCTCTGTCCGAGTTTGACATTTCAACTCTGGCAGCGGGCGCGCGCGTGAGACGAGAATGACCGCGACAGTTTCACAGGATGGCGTAAGTTACACAGAAGCATTGATCACGCCACC